GTACCTACAAGCCCATAATGGCCAATGTATATCTTAACTTTTGAAGGTACTACAGGCATATGAAGTTTCTATTTTAGCGTTCGCTAGTACCTGTTCGGTGTTCAGCTGTGAGTTATTTGGCCAGCTTATTGGGTTATTTAGTTTTCGGGATGTTACTCAAAGGCTGTTAAGTGTAAATCAAGCTTTGTTTCATGTAATGCTGTTTTACCTTCCGGTCTGTTCCTCCCGTACGTTGTTTAGAACATATTTGAAGGGCTGTCAGCCGTACCATATATGTGATTTGGTAATCAGTTTCATGTATGGCTCTTTGAGGAAGTATTTTATGAAATCGAGTTTTTGATTTTGCAGCCGTTGCAAATGCTTAATTTAAGGAGGAGATACTAATGAAATAGAATTGATATGATTAAGCATGCTGTTCATCCTGCTGCTCAGGGCACTAGAGGAAGATTAAAAATCTGGAGACCGGGGAAGAATTATTAAGTAAATACAGTTTCATAATTTTTCTACGTTAGTCAAGAAGTAATTTAAAAAATGTGTGAAAATCAGAAGCTTTTCTTAAAGAATTGTCTTAAGATTGATGGGTATCATTTGGTGTTATATGAAAGTTTGGCTAAGAGAGTATTTCTAAAATTCAGTTTTCCGCAGAATGCTGTAGTTCTCTTCAGGCAGATAAGGTCACCAGAAGTAGTGTCAAATGTGTAACTGAAGTTCTGACGTAGTTTTATAGGCAATAATTCCTCTGCCTCATGCGGTATCATTTTTATGAGACATTATTTCCAAGTTAAAAATTGTCATCAGATTGCATTGGCAGGAGGAGTAACCTTCAAAGATGATAGCTCAGTCTTATTTGTGCACCCTTAACGGTAAATTGTGAGTTTTTGAGAAGACGGTTGAAGAAATGGTGTTTGAGGAGAATTGGTCTGTTTTGGAGCTAAGTTACACTGCGGTTAATGAGGTGAGGGTGCTGATTTAGACTTATCACGTTTAAGAATGCACATTTGTAGATTTTGAAAAATTTTATTGAGAGAAAGAAACGTTTTTTTTTTTTTTCAATTAAGCTGTTAGTTTTGCCGGGTAAATCCTTTGTTATGAGGATCACGGTCTAGGTTGTTTGTTAATGGTGCTGGACTCTTGAGCATGGATGATTTGGCATATAAAGAGGTTGTGAATTTTTTGGAATTTTAAGCACTAAGATGGTTCAGCGTGAAGCAATCTATTAGCTGAGCGTATGCTCGGCTATTACTTGATAGTTCCGTTAATCTTCAGAGTAAATCTTTTCTGCCCTAATGTGTTGCACTAGATATCTGTATAGGTTTGAAGTTTACTCGATTACATTCATTAGTTTTCGATTTTCGAAGCGTGATAGTTATTTCAGGTCTTCTTATAGTTGTCTAAATAGAATTCACCTCTATGTGCGCTATAAACAGATAGGAGACCAGCAGACGGAATGGCTCCAAAACAGGAGCGGCGGAAACGTGGGAGATGGGAACAATATAATGCTGATTTCAATGCTGATGAAAATTCGCAGTCGCAAAGCAGTTTCAGTGATCGTCAAGGAAATTCTAACGATAAAGATTCTGGGAATGCTGCAGGTTTGTTCATCGTTTTTTCAACTAGGAAATTTTTAATTTTTGTGAACAACTGCAGTTTTATAGGAAGTTTTCTATATTATTTTATTTGAAGTTCCTAAGGCTGCAAGCAGCAACTTGGAGCAGCAAGGATTTATGGCGAGAACTGATGAGTTTGGTGCTCGTGATTATAGGCATGAAATGAAATTGAAACCTGATCATGCTTCCAGGCCGCTTTGGGTTGCTTCAGATGGTCACATATTTTTGGAATCATTTAGTCCCGTTTACAAACACGCTCATGATTTTTTAATTGCTATATCTGAGGTAAATTTTTAGTTTTGCAGCCAGATATAGTCACAGTATTGCTTCTTTAAATTCTTTTGTGTAACTGATTTCCCAAATTATAGCCTGTTTGTCGGCCAGAATTTATTCATGAGTACCAGTTAACTGCTTATTCATTGTATGCTGCTGTGTCGATAGGACTGCAAACGAACGATATTGTTGAATATCTGGAAAGATTGTCGAAAGCTAGCTTGCCAAAAGGCATTATTGACTTCATAAAGGTGCCTCACTGCTTCAGTTTTTGAGGACTGAGTAATGTCTAGATGGAACTGCAGTTTTTGGGTAAAAACCCTTTAACAGTAATTTCTTCAGATGTGTACCCTGAGTTATGGGAAAGTTAAATTGGTTTTAAAACATAATCGTTATTTTGTTGAGTCTCGCCACTCGGATGTTGTTCAAGCACTTTTAAAAGACAAAGTTATACAGCAGTGCTTGAAGGAGGAAAAACCTAATGAAGAAGTTACGCAGACGGTACGTTGTTAACTGGTGACGTTTTATTGCCTTTTTTATTCAAAGTCTGCTAATGACATGTTAGTTTCAAGTATTTTTGGAGGCAGGGTGCTAGACCTTTCGAAGTGCTGCATTGTTTTCTATTTGGAACAGTTTTTTTGTAGAAACCGCTTGTTTTTGTTAGGATCTGAACAAAGAGAAGATTCAAATTCCTGGAACTCAAATTAGTAAGGAAAATGAAGAGCCCGAAAAGAAAGCGAATGTTCCGGAAGATATCGACGAGTTCTACGGCCGTTTTGATCGTGATGATGATGAAGACGAAGAAGCAATCAAGAATTTGCAGCTTTTAACTTTTGAAGTAAGAAGGATTGGTTGTTTTAGTTCTCTCTCAAGTACTTTCTCTTTTTTATTTCAATTTTTTTAATCTAAATTCAAGTTTAGATTAAACCTGAAACAATTGAGACCGTTCAGAAGCGCTGCATAGAGTTGGAATATCCACTCCTTGCTGAATACGATTTTCGAAATGACACCTTCAATGAAAATCTTGGAATTGATTTAAAACCTTCTACTACTCTGCGGTACAGAATTGTATTTCGTTGATAATGCAAACAGGAAGTTAAATACTGAGTAATACAGGTATGGTTTTTAAGCCCGTATCAGGAGAAAAGTTTGCGTAAAATGTTTGGAAACAGTCGAGCCAGATCAGGAGTCATAGTTCTTCCGTGCGGTGCCGGTAAAACTCTTGTGGGTGTGACTGCTGCTACTACTATAAATAAGCGTTGTTTGTGTTTGGCGACCTCTAATGTTTCGGTTGAGCAGTGGCGAGCACAGTTCAAAGTAGTTTTTTTATGTGTATTGATGCGTTTGTGTTATGCCTTTTGTTGTCGTGTTATGAGGAAAGTAGGTAGTTCAGTATGTGCTTTGGGATGCGAATTTGGTTCATTTTAGCTCTGGTCGACTATTCGTGATGACCAGTTGGTGCGGTTTACCCGTGAGGCTAGGGACCCGATACCAACTGGACCGATTGCAAATAAAGCTGTCGTTTGTATCAGCACATACTCTATGGTTGCTTATACTGGAAAACGAACATATATGGCTGAAGAAGCTATGAAGTATATCGAAAGTCAGGAGTGGGGGCTTGTTTTGCTTGACGGTAGGAGAAGAAATTTGTTCACTCTTCGTTTATTTTATTCATATGGGTGTAGAATATAGACATATGCGATTGTGTTACATTCTGATCTAGTGTAGCTTACTTTGCGCATTTGTAATTTTTTTTAATCTCTGCTTAGTACACTTTTTTCACGTTTAGAAGTTCATACTATCCCAGCTAAAATGTTTCGCCGTGTTCTTACTATAGTGCGTGCGCACTGCAAACTTGGTCTTACTGCAACTTTAGTTCGCGAAGATGATAAGATTACTGATCTGAACTTTTTAATTGGCCCGAAAATATATGAAGCAAACTGGATGGAATTGCAAAAAGCAGGACATATTGCAAAAGTCCAGTGTGCTGAGGTGGGTTTTGGTAATTATCTGCAAAATCTTTTCTAATGTTTGTATTTGATAGATATTTTTGCACTTGTGAACTAAATATTTCTCTGAATGGAAGTTCTGAGAACTCTGACGTGTAGTTTAAGGGAACAAGGGATAGTTTATTCTTACCTCTAAACGGTCTTTAACGACAAGCTTATTTTATAGGTATGGTGTCCAATGACTGCTGAGTTTTACTCCTACTACCTTAGAGCTTCAATAGCAAGGCGCCTTCTTTTGTCAGTGATGAATCCAAACAAATTTCGCATATGTGAATTTCTCATTCTTTTTCACGAAAGAAGGAATGATAAAGTATGAGTTTTTGGTTCTTCTATCTATTTTTTAAAATCTTAATATTTATTTATATTAGTTTTTTTATCAGTTTTTTAGGGCGGATATTTTACCTAATCTTTTACAGATTATTGTGTTTTCTGATAACGTATTTGCTCTGAAGAAGTATGCTATTGAAATGAACAAACCATTTCTTTATGGTGAGACGGGACAGACGGAAAGGATGCGGATTTTACAGAATTTCCAGTACAATCCGAAAGTTAACACAATTTTTGTCTCAAAAGTAAGTGAAAACATTTTTTTAATTTATTTTTTATATCTGAGATCTTACAGTAATATTTGTCTACAACTTTTCTAGGTTGCTGATACGTCATTTGACCTACCAGATGCCAATGTTCTCATTCAAATATCTGCACACGGTGGGTCGAGACGACAAGAAGCGCAGCGACTTGGGCGTATTTTACGAGCGAAGAAGAATTCCACTGATGCTTTTAATGCGTTTTTCTACTCTTTAGTCTCGCAGGTTGAGATCACGTCGTATTTTCGTAGGCACTTTTTTTTTGGAAAATGTATCATCAGTTCAATTGTTTTTAGGATACTGTGGAAATGAGCTATTCGCGTAAAAGGCAGAGGTTTTTAGTTAACCAAGGTTATGCATACAAGGTTTGAATGGTGCTTTGGATTTCCTTTTTTTACAAAGTCACTTATTCTTTTTAACATCTGGTTTTTCCTAAAGTTTTATTCCATTTTCTACGAAGGTTGTCAACCGCTTGCCTGGTATGGAAAAAGAGGCATTGAAATTAGGAACGAAGGATTCCCAGTTACAGTTGCTTCAACAAGTCCTTGCTGCTTCTGATGCTGATGCCGAGGAAGAAGATGTGAAAGAAGAAACGTTTGACGGCCTTAGAGAAGCGAAGGTTTCTGCTAATTTTTGTTGCTAATTTCACTACTGGAATTAGAAATTGAGTTTTGATGTTTCTGCTGAATATCTTTTTTTGAAATATATTGATCAAATTATTGCAGACTATGAGGAAGGAAGGTTCTTTTGCCTCATTTTCTGGAAGCAATTCAGTCTCTTATACACAGAAGACGAGGACGATCAAAGACGAAGACCGTCATCCATTGTTCAGAAGGTTTCGGGCATTAAAGTAGTTTTTATTTGTTGTACATAGAAAATCATTGCTGACCACATTGGTCTAGTTTTTTGCTGTATTTTACACCGTACTTTCAAATGTCGTATGCTGATTGATCTTATCTGAATTTTATACTTAGTCTTTTAATAGGCCTCATAGCTACGGTTTCAGTATTTTTTACCCGTATTTTTACTGCGAGTTATAATTTTTACGTTTATATAACTGGGTGTGGTGGTTGCATTT